AGAGAAGATCAGCACTATATGAATGAAAATTACGGCTAAAAGTATGATAATAATGGCTGTAATATAATGCTTGACTGTATTGTAGTGAATAATATAATAACACATTATTTGTACAAAGAATTGACTCATTTCCTTATTCTTTCATGCCGTCTATCATTTTTTGTCAAATATATGATAATAGAAATTGATTTGCATTTTCACTGAATTTGAGTTTTATGTGAGAAAATGTTATGAAAGATGTGTGAATTGAGTGAAGAAACGGGACCTTAAGAAGCAAAAAAAATAAAGGACAGACACATTGAACAGAAAAAAATATAATAATATATACTGTGGTGTATATAATGTCGGAAAACTGGCGACACTTTTTATTACATGAGAAGAAGTGATGCATTTATATTATCTCATGTTTGCGCCATTCGTAACAATAGCTCACACAACGAATTATTCAGCAAAAAGAAGTGGAGGAATAATTCGTGAATAATAGGAGCGCATCACCAGTTGTCTCGTTGTCTCTATTGTCACGTTATTTCGTTCCCTTTATCGTAGACGAGAACATTAATGCATTTACACAACATCTCTCTCTCTCTCTTTCTCTCTCTCTCCCTCCCTCTCTCCCTCTCTCTCTCTCTCTCTCTCTCTCTCTCGTGGAGCACAATATCTTTTATAGTAAAATAGAGAGAAAAGTTTTATTCTTTTGTAAAAATAGTGTTTAGAGTCTGGGTTTGGTGTTAGAGAAGTGCGAGTATTGGCCGACAAAAAGCCTTTTCCTTTCATTGTTTGTGACGAACAGAACATTGAGTCGAGCTATGAGTCTATAAGTCCAACGAAATGACAAATTCGTTTCCGTCGGTCTCTATCTCACTCTCACTCAGTCACTCACTCACACACTCTCACTCACTCACTCACTCACACACTCCTACTCTACTCTATCATTCATTCTTCAGAGTTAGTCCATGTCTTTGGCTTCACTCTGAATACGGTTCACAATTGACATTAACTGAACTAATACTCAGACAATAGTTGACAGTATAAGACAAGACACGCCAACAGATATTTAATAGAGAATTAAATAACAAATTAAGAGAAAAAAGCATAAAAAGAAATAAAGCGAACAATAAATGCGACAAAAGAGACTACAATAGGCGTAAAGTTAGCGGAGTTTCAATTAATTATTAGTTCTTCAGATCAGTTGTAAATTGTTTTCATTTTCATGACTTCCTAATTGATGTCATTCAGAAAAATTCATTTTTAAAAACTAGTTTTTCTTCAGCTTTTTCACTATTAAAACATTTTTCTCGCCTTTTGTTTCATTTTAACACAAATTTTTTCTTTGATTAATACGAAAACAATTTTCTCTTTTCTTATAAATATATTGTTTATTAATGAGATTATAGTTAAGAATGAAAATCTCTATTTAATTCTCTTTTATATACAATTTCATTGTGGGTTTTAATAGTTTGTGACACAAATTATTTTTGCCTTATTAACAGTTTGTTATGTTAACTCGGGTTTCAATTCTCACATCCTCTTTAACCTCGCTTCTTATTATCCTTAGTATCTTTTGTAGTAAATAATGTAAACTGGCTTTCAGTTTGGTGATAAGTAAAACAGCTTTCTTTAGACGACAGTTCACTTGTCGTAAGACTAACAATAATTTGTCAAAACAATCATTCAATACATAAATAATTGTTAAATACTTTATTTTACTTATCATAACAATTACAACATACTCACTGTTGAGTAAATTTTAAATATTTTAAATATTATTAACCATTTATATAACTCAAAGCAAAATATTTGTTACAAATGAGCGTTTAGACAAAGTTTATGTTATAAATGACTGATTTTATTCACATATTAAAAATTATACTAATAAAAAATTCAAACGTTTAGTAAAACTTTCACTGATTGTGAAATTATAGTCAATTAAAGATAATACAAATTTTAATAGATATCTTCAATTATCTTCAAAATGTTTTGTTGAAGAAATTTTTATTTCTCGTAAATAATTTAAATACAATTAGTGTTGATTACCGTGAGATTCAAGCAATCAGAGCGCTATAAACTGTGATTTTAATGACATGTATCTAAAAGTTATTAATTAGCTGACTCTTGCCTGCAAACATTGCTTTAAATTTATTAAAATTATACTTTAATTAACCTATATTTTAATTTAATATGAATACGAGCCTATTAAAACAATTATAATATAGATTCAATTTTTAAGTTTGGAAAGTTTGTTTGCATGAAATATTGATGTCCTATCAATGCTCACAATTATTCACATCTTAATGAATTCTCTCGTATAAGAAACAACTCTTATATGGCACATATCGTAATATGTAAAATATATACAGTACAAATGTATGGGTTTTGTATAACCCATAATAAAATTGTATACAGTAAATTTTGAAAGACAATTAAACTAAATAAATAAAATAATGTCAATTTGACAGAGATAGGCGATATACTCAAAATATTCAAATTGTTTTTGCAACTTTTTGTTATGAAACATTTTAGTTTGAATATTGAGTGCTCATCTCTAGTGTCTAATAATAAAACTAATCTTAAAATACTTTATAAATTACTTTAACTTAAAGTGTTATTTAGTAATATTGAAAATACTATTAAACATTTAATATAACCGGTATTATCATACAGCATACTGGCAATTTTCAATTAAACACTTTTATTTTCATATTGGTTTAATTAGTGTTTCAAATTGATAATGTCTATGATGATAATATTTAATGTGGAGATAAAGTATTTATTAAAACAGAACAATAACATGTTAAAGCTATCATTAACAAAGTAAAAAACCTGTTCTTAGTGTTATAGGTTTCGTAGATAAGTTATAAACACAATTTGCACTCAACTTACAGTATAACAATAAGACTTATTGAATAAGTGGGCATATTTTGCACAACAAATGTATAGCTATTTTTTGGTATACCGTAGATTGTTTTGTGAGTATTAATAGTTTAGAAATATTTGTCGTTTCAAAGATATAATCGCTTAAGATATGAGTTTTAATGAGTTTTAATAAACTTATCAATACAATTTTTATTAATTAAGAACTTTATTGATTAAAAATTACATCAACTTACAGTTTTAGAATAAATGAGAGTTTTGATCATATTTCAAACATAACAACACAATTTGAATACATATTATGAATACAGTATTAAGTCATTAACTTTAACAATTCATTTCGTGTTGACTAACTCTTTTACAATCGGTTTTTTAATATAATTAATTTTGTTCTTATTCTTTACATAACTTTATTTCGTTTTTCTCTATTTTTACGTTTAATCATGAGTAATTAGAGTAAAGTCATGAAATAAACATTAATTGGTAGCAAATATGTGTTACAAAAGTGTCGGGGATTACCGATAATTCGTAAGAAAGTAATCATTTGATGAATTGACTACTTCTTGGCTTTGGTTGGCTTTCGAGCGCATTGTTTGGTCTTTTTGTTGGTCTGCTTTTGTTTGGTGTCCTTCTTCTGACTCTTCTGACTCTTGAACCGAATCTTTCGTTCTTTGATTTCTTTGATGATGTCTTCGGTCCACAGTATATGAGACGAGCCTTCAGTCTCGACCTTCTCTTTCGATTTAATCGCTTTCTTCTTGACATTCACTGTCAGATCATTATTGTCGCCACCGTTTTGGGAATCGTCTTCAGCGGATATCCCGCAGGTTTACCTGCCGGCTGGGGATGGAGACCCCAGCGCTCACTACATGAACTTCAGTAACTGGTCAAACACCTCTAATCGGTAGCTTAGGAAGGTGTTCAGCACCAATTACTGTAAGGGCTTCTCCTCGACTGAGCGCTCACTTCCGTCAAACACTTTCTCCTTGTAGTCGACAAAGAGGTTATGGTTTGTCTCGAGAGTATCGAAACGAGTCTCAAGCGATTCCTTGAGATCATTGATGGCCTTATCGGTGGACGAGTGACTGCTTTGGAAGAGATAGTAATTTATTGAACGGGTATTCGACGGACCGATGCATTTGTATCGATAGAAGACAAAGTGGACGCCAGAAGACAACAACTTATACCAGACATACACCGCATCCACAATACCATTGCGTTTGCACTGATCAATGAATTGGCGAATTGTGTGCAACTGATCCAAAGTGATCCGCACCTTCACGTCAAACCGAGTTTTCAGCGACTGATCCAACGGTTGCTTCACGTAAATGGCGTACAAGAGGTATAGGGAGCACACCCTCTGAGACAATGGCCTCTCTTTGTTCACCAATTGGGACAACACTTCCAAATAGATCTCATCAATGAATTCATGCATTTCGTTGTCGTTGTGTCGACCACTGCAACAAACAGACCATCAATTGTCACCCATTGGTGTCCAGTCACGTGTTTACCGGATCTATTCTGGCTTTGAGTACAGAACCTTTAGCACCGTCTTTAGCTCTATAAACCAACTTAAGAACAGCAGCATAAACCGCTTGTCTCAGAGCTACAGACAGGACTTAGGCCTGCGGCACATATAGTACAAAGACTTGCTTCGATGGCTTGTCATGTCTTCAGATGTGTCTCAAGTTGTGGTCAAAGCTATCAATCACTCAATCATTCACTCAAACAATGCTTTCATTCATTCACTGAGTCTTGGATTCAGCGGTGAGTCAACCGTTAGAGCCGTTCACATATACTGTACGCACAAATGGGGCCAAACAGTGGCCAACCCTTTCACATACAATACATTCAATTCAATCCCATTTCTATACTTTGCATTCATTTCTCAATTTTATTAGACTTTTATTTCAATTCATTTATGGTTTCATGATTTGATTTTAAATAAATGGAAAATTTATTACAATTTATGGTAAAATTACATGAATATAAACAAAAATCACAAAAACATTCTAAACATGCTTTTACATTCTGTTTACCTGCTATAGAATCACTATCTATTATTGAAACTGGTGAGGAAGGCATAATGAGAACTCATCAAGCTTCCGTACCTACCGGAATAGCTAACCCAACCTATGGGTCACCAAAGGCTTCAAATCGACTTTTCCGCTCGAAATGAGTTCAATGGCCAACGGATAGCTATGACAACGATTTGAATATACAATTACATTATCTATGCACTCATGTAATGCCATAAGAATACAAACTCGTCTTTTATACGACAACTGCCAATGATATCAATCTCCCTGAGAGTGGCCGCACTCATAGGTACCCTGATTTTTGCGGGACCCAACCCTAACGTACAGATTCGGCCGCCGATTCTGGTCGCATGGATGGCCGTCGAGACACTGGACTCAACGCCCGAGCATTCAATGCATGTATCGATTCGTCCGAATTGTGTATTCAGTGTTTTCACGAATTCAATGTCATTAAAGGTTTTGGTGTCTATGAGGAAAGTCTGGTCTGCGCCCATTTTCTTGGCTAAATTCAGTCGACTTTGATCTATATCTGTTATACAGACTTTTGTAGCACCAAAAGCTATACAGATTATACAATTATCATAGTTTGCAATTATAATCCAAAATTGAATGCATTCACAAACCCTTAGCGCAGAGCATAGCCATTAGTCCAATGGATCCTAAATGTATGGCAAATCAGAACAAGTAGTTATTAAAAGATGAAATACTTGAATGGATACATACCAGCCCCACAAACCAAGACTCTATGTCCTACTTCTAGGTGGACTCGTCTACAGGCGTGAACTACCACTGCAAAGGGCTCGACCATTGAGCCCTCGTCCCACGACATGTTATCCGGAATTCTATCAATACAAATGAATTTTGCATTTATTTTATACTCAAATTTTGATAAATAATACAATTCTTACTTAAACAAACAATTATCCGGATGAGTAAAGTATTGTTGAAGGCAACCATCCATTGGGGGCAGACCTCTGGACTGTACAAAAGATATCGGACACAAGTTGTATCGACCCATTCGGCAGTATTCACAGCGACCGCAAGATATAATGGGTTCGACGGCTACTCTGTCGCCAGCCTTCAGATCTCTAACTTTGGTTCCGACAGCAATCACTTCGGCCGATGGTTCGTGACCTAACACTAACGGCTTCTTTACAACAAAATCTCCGGCAAAGCCTTTCTTCCAGAGATGGAGATCTGTGCCACAAATGCCATTACTTTTGAAAATATAAATCTATTGAATATCTATTGAATTTGTTTGATATTACTTTATAGTACCTTTTAGACTGCAGTAAACATTCTATAAAATAGTAAAATTTTTAAGTAAATTTAATTTCAAAATCTAATTTCAATTATTAAGGTATTTGAAATTAAGTATATATTGGACATACCATGTGGTCCCAACTTGTCATCCAGGGGCCAAATCTCAATCTTTAACTCATTGGCCTTATGAAGAACCAGTGCTTTATTATCTGATTTTTTAAATCCTTTTAAATTGCTCATTTTATTTTGGATTTTTGGATCTTACAGTAAGATTCTTACTATAATATGTCTGTCTGTAAATGTCTAACTGATTTTATTTGTCTATATTTTGATTATAATCATGAAAAAATAATAAATTTAGTAACTGTAATGTTAGGCTAAATAATATTTTAATTATTATAAAATGATCGTGCAATAATACATAACTTTTAGTTCTTTGTACCAAAAAAGCATGCAATTATTTATATCATACTGGTATATTGTTATAAGTTTCCATTACTTATTTTGCAAATATAGTAAGTTATTATAGACTTATCAAGTTCATTTTATCAATATAAGGAATTCCAAATGAATTAAAATAAATTAATACTTTATTTTTAAATAAAAAATGTGCTTAAGAGATTAAAGAGGAATAATTGATTGAATCAAAATCAAAATACGATTGAATTGTATTTATTGGTTCTTCAACTGAGTGTGAATTAGTATCCATTGATTCTGTCATTGAATACAGACGTGATCTCATGGGCCACTTCTGCAAATCAATATAAAATTAATAAATGAGGTAGGTCATCACAAATACGATATTTAATACCGGGTATTATAAGGTAACTACAGTATAGTAATCACAAATGAACAAGTAAGTTATGGAAACTTTTCTTCCATTTAGTTTTAAACTTTATTTTTTTATAAATAAAATTGTTTAATTGATAAATGACTTGAAATTCAAAGCATAATTTTAATAGCATAAAGTTATAAAGCAAATTAATTTATAAGAATTAAAATTATAATACAGACGAAACTAACTTTTGAATTATCAGAAGATAAATGTTTGTGATATAAAAACTTCAAATAAATATGATTCAAGAAATGATAGCATACTTTGATTGGATGCAAAAACTTGAGGTCGCATTCAAAAGCGGTGTTGACGTTCACATCGTTGTCTTCATCGGTAGCAACCATTTTACTGAGATATGAGATGTAATTTGTGGCCAAAATAAGGACATCCAGTTTAGAGAGCTTTGTGTTGGGCGGCACTGAAGGCAGACAGAGCTGAAGGCGTTGGAAGGCCTGCCGTAAACTCTTCACTCGACTTCTCTCTCGTTCAGCATTTTTAGCCGTCAAGTTATCCTTCAGTTTAAAGCCTTTATAATAAATGGCATATAATATTAGAAAATATACTAATAATATGTGAAATTAATTTTAACAAACTTGATGTTTTCATTTTTGATCGCATTTTTTTCCGTTCAAAATGTTTGCTTTTAGTCACTCTTTCCATAATCTGAATGAACACTACAAATATAGTTAACAAATGATTTGTCGCATAAAAATACACCCAAACATAAGTAAATGTATTGTAATAAATGAAATTATAACAATTAATCATCTATTTTGAAGACTAAATATTTGTAATATAAGTATTAAAATAAAAGCAACTATTTGACTAAAAATAGGCTACAAATGTTGATTATATTTCATATGTCTGAAGGGAGAACTGAGTTAATTATCAGCAAAGTATCAAATTTCATTCAATATCGGATTAGTTTCCAAAAAACTTATTGTAATAAATGTGAGCAAAAATAAGAGGTTATGTCAACAATCATTCATATTTTGAAGTATTTTCTTTATAAATTATCAGCAAAGTATCAAATTTCATTCAATATCGGATTAGTTTCCAAAAAACTTATTGTAATAAATGTGAGCAAAAATAAGAGGTTATGTCAACAATCATTCATATTTTGAAGTATTTTCTTTATGTTTAAACGAGAAATTTTATTTTTCTAAAAACAAATAAACTAAATATTTGTCAAACAATTAAAATGAGTAAATTGTTATAAAAAACAAATAACAAGTTTTATAGATCGGAAAATTGGCCAAAAGAGAGCAAACATTGGCCTTTAAACTGCACACAACTAAAGACAACAAAAGACATCTAAAGATATAAATGACTGGACCAAAAGCACTCGTAGACTCAAAACTAATTAACACGAAACCAGATTTAGTCGTAAAAGGAAAGGAGAAATCAGTTTTGGTTCATAGGATCAGCTTTCTCTGCATTAGTCCCTACTTTCAGAGGTATTTCAAATATAACCCCAAAAGAAATACTGACGGCTGTTATGAACTTCAGCTCAAAGACGTGTCCGACGCTGTGCTCATCCAGATCTGCAAGTATTCATCTGATGGCACGATTGACATCTATGAACACACTGTCTTTGATTTGTTATCGGCAGCCGATATGTATAACATTAAAGGTATCATCAATTGTTGCAAACGATTTCTATTGCAGAATATATCGCCGACCAATTGTTTTGATATCTATATATCGGCTCATTATTACAACTGCGGGAATCTGAAGAAGTCAGTCGCCGATTATATTTCTAAGAATAATGTGATGAATGAGGAGCAGTCGTGTCGGGAACTGACTATTGAATTAATTCTCGATATTTGGTACAAACAAAATATCCAATAATTCAATAAAATGCTAATTAATTGTGAAATTTTGTCTACAAAATTAATTCTATACACGATTTCATTAGAATCAATGTTAAGTATTTTCTGAATTTGTTTTATTCATAACTACTGCAATTGTTGTATTAATATCGTAATAATTTATTCCATCACTATTTTAATATATTTAACAGATCCATAAATTAAGACAAACATCACATTTATATGACATTTGAGGAAAAATTTCCGACTAATTTCAGTCATTGGTTTTCGTAATTATTTGAAATGTCTTGCAGTAGTATTAATAATAATTCTGTATAATATTTAAGTTTTTATACTATTTTAGATAGCTCTAAATAAATAAATTTATAATATTTTCGTAATAATAATTATTATTTATTACAGTGTTTAAACAATTCATATTTAAAATGTAATTATTATCATAAATAATAAACAATTGAATCACAATACTGTATATAATCTTTAAATTATTACTATTATTCTATATAATTAGTTAAATATAAAATGTTAACAATAAAAACTTTATGATGACAATTTCCATATGAAGAGCTATTTTAAATAAATTCTTATAAGAATTAACATATAATTAGTAAACATAATACATTGAATGGGATAATTGATTTGAAATATTCCATAAAACTTCCACAATCTGTAATAAAAGAAAGTTCTAAGAAATTATTATTTATAAATTTAGTACCATGTACCATTTTCATAGTTATTCACAATAGCTATCATGTGGAGGTAAGCTATACTAAAAGGTAATGTAGTTATTAAAGAAATATTTTTTATAAAACATTTATTTTGTTCGGAGATTTAAATTTATTAATATTAAAAATTTATTTACTATTAATTAAAAATTTAATTTAATGTTCAAAGAAATGATATTTTTATTAATAAATAAATAAAAATCAAATAATTAATTATTCACCAGTTAATAGGACCATAACTTATGGTATTATATATACATTATAAAGATAAAGGTTGTAAAAATGTAATAGCATTATCTTTGTATGATTTCATGATTAATATAATAATATGAATATTTTACTTAAATTCATATTTGTATTCAAATTAACAACGAAATTATGTTACAAGTATTTGAGTGCTAACAAAGTCCAAACTCACAAATTAACGGTTTAATATAAAACTTATAAGCAAATAAAATACAGTATTAGCAATTTTGATAATTGACTATAATTCATTCCTTAGTGATAGCGTAACAAAAAACTAACGTAGACTACAATATTATAATGTTAAAAACAATTTAATCTGTAAATTATAAGCAAATAAAATACAGTATTAGCAATTTTGATAATTGACTATAATTCATTCCTTAGTGATAGCGTAACAAAAAACTAACGTAGACTACAATATTATAATGTTAAAAACAATTTAATCTGTAAACTATTTGTGAAATATAATAAATGTTAATTGCGAAAATCCAAGGACTGAAGTAATAATGAAATATCCTTTGTTTGGATAATCTGTACGACACATGAGTACAAATGAACTAATATATGATTCTGTACTCAAGAGCACTAAGTCTTGTTTAACAAGTTTTTTGTTTTGTACGAATTGTACTGTACTTTAAAAATAGTTTATTGAGAATAAAATTCTCTCATAAAGTACTATAGTCTCGACATAACAACACCGCCTAAAAATAAGTCCAAAAGTATTTTTCGCAGGAATATTAAATTATTTCATTACATTATTATTAAAATTAAGGCAACAATTGTTTGTTAAACTATAAAATATAGTGTAAAGAATTGGCACTTCATATGCCTTTTACAGCGAATCAACAACTAGTGTGTGAGTGTTAGTGCTGTGAAGTGGTATTTGAATGTTTGGATTCCCCAAAGGTTTTTACCTCAAACTCCAGACTATTGCGCGAAACTCACGGCATAAGTCCTGCACTTATTTATATTCATATTTATAAGTGAATTCCGCGAGAGTTTAAGACCATTAGTGACTCAAAACCACGAGTTCAATGAGTTTATGGAAGCAATAAGTGATTAACATTATTATATAATAGTTTTAAAACTTGTCTACTATTGTGCAAAATATTAGTAATTAATGAGAAAAATGCGAAAATTGCAAATCATTTTGATTTTAATGATCTTTACTTCGTGTTTGGCGTCGATTAAAGGCAACGGAAAGTTGGTCCGACTCTGCTATTGGACGGCTTGCAGTAAATCTCATCCACACAAGTCGTGTCCAAACAATTTGGAGGAATCGGCGTCCAGAAAGTGTCGGATCAAAGGCACGGGTCAAATGGGACGCTACCAGAAGTGCTGTATTTATGAGGATTACATGTAGCTTTTCAACGCTTTCTTACTGTTATTTAACATCAAATAGAGTAATATTTATTTTTAGAAAATCCACTGGTATAGTTCCTATTAAGTTTTCTAATATAATTTCAATTCCATATATGATACTGTACAATTTTAATGGTATTTATTATAATATCGACATATCGATAGTATTTTTGTAATGCCTTTTAGAATAAAGTAATATTTGTAATGAATTTCATGTTATTATAACTTATTATTAAATGTAATGAAAGCTATTGTATTTTAGTGCACTATGTTTTATGATTAAATGTTTAAAATATTTTTATTATAAAAACTTGAAATTTTTTACATACTTCACATCGACGACATATATGGGAAAGTCCTTCGATGTCATCACAATAGAGGATTAATTTCTAAACAATTCTGCTTTGAATGCATATCAAGCATAAGGTATGTCATAATTGGTTGAAATCGGATGTCCGCTATTGCCATATATTGTTATTTGAAGTCATTTTAATCAAATGACATTTTGAGACGTCTTCCAAATTTTGTCTCTATTTATAAATGAAAAGTTTGGAAAATATTTTTGCTATATGATACTGTGTATTTGCAGTACCAAATAATATTTATACTTCTAATGAGAAACCTTTTTCTTATAAATAATTATAACTTATAAACATTTGAAGGACAATTGACAGTTTAACTAATGAATGCTTTCATGAACTAAACTATTATTAAGGTATACTTTAACAGAATTAAATGTTAATCAATAATAAGATGACAGAAATTTTATGGAAATATACCAAACACTCAAAAGACAAGCATTTGAATTTCTAAAGCCATTTATAATATGAATGAATGACTAATATAAATAGTACTCTATTGAATACAATACTATTGTTTTGTAGACAATTGTAAAATTGACAAAATTTTCTTTTTATGTAGAAATTCTCATAAATAAAATTCAATGCGTTTATAGATAAATGTGATGTCAAAAAATATTTTGTAAACTTTCATAATTAGTGATTAATTAGTTAATTAGTATGAGTGTACTTGAACGAGTTTTTAAGTACGAAATTGCTTTAAATTTTTGAAATAAATTAAATAACTTAATTTCTAAGAATTCGTTACATTGCGTAACCTGATGGGAAATATGATTATCTAATTAAAATGTTAATAGTTGTATAATATTTATAAATGTTAGAATACATTTTTAATTACTTTGTGTTTACTGTGTGATAGTAGTTTAAAAATAAATTTGTAATCTGTTTTCAAAGTGACATTAAACTCATAAAAATGAACATTGATTATTTGTAATAAAATAATTAAAAATGTTTATTGTACAGTATAATGGTTTAAAATTAAATACAATTATGATAATTAGCAATAAAAATTATTCCATAAAACCAAATACAATATATTTTGGTATAAGATTAAATTATACTCAAATTTAATTACCTTATATCTATTTTATGAAAGAAATTTTTTAATTTATATGTTTTAGTACAACAAAAATATTCTATTAAAGATAATATTTTTATTTGAATATATCGTAAAATTATAGCCACAAAAATATATTTAAATTAATGATAACAAAACTTAAGCTAAATGTAATAAAAAAGAATTGTAAAAAATTGTAGATTATGTATAAAATGATATTCAATGATATCTAAGAATTGGAAACGATTTAATTGTGATAAATTCAAGTCATAGAAAGCGGCACTTATTGATTGTCATCAAAATTCATACCACATCCCAACATTTATAACTCATGCGCTCCACCATGTCTTGGAAAGCATGCCATTCAGTAAACACTGATTCCAAGTTGGCATCAATTCTGTACAACATTGTACTCTTCAATCATTTATGTTTTTATTTTACAAATCAATTTGTAATCTTCTTTTGAAATGAACATTTAATTTTTAGAAGTGGTTTATTACAATTCTTTATCAAATTCAGTAATTTATTGTATTTAATTTGGTGGATATATATATAATAATAATAATGAAATTCCGTGATTTATTATAATATGTAGAATTCATAGAATTAATTAATTTTAATTTTGTTTATATTTTATTGTAAATAGCTAAGCTTTTAAAATAATATCTTATACGATATAAAGAGTATAAAGTATATTTTGAAAGTGTACAATATAATTTACAACTAGATTATAATAATACTGTAATAACATTAATACAGTATTACAAGTAAGACATTTATAATGTTTTTATAAATAACTAATGAATTGCTTATAGTTTTAGATAAACGAAAAAGAGTATTTAATTTCTTTTATTTCCTTTTGTTTTTAGAAAAAACATTCAGTTTCAGTAAAGCGACAATTTTATAAAATGTACACATTTTGATGGTTTATCGATTAATACTAAACTAAAACAGTATTAGACAATGTCAATATTATTTATAATGAAATTCTTAAGATTTTTAAAAAGAGTTTGGAAAACAATTATTTTAATTGTGACCCCAATTGCTTTATTACCACTTCTACTGAATGACACAAATATATCGGTAAGTTTCCATTTTAGTTAATATTTATTAACATTTAATGATCATTACGACAGCATATGTTTAACTAACTTTCACTGTCATCGCTTTGGTGTACAAATTTACTTAGGATTTGATTTAAAATAATGCGAGAAACATTTTATTTTACATAATATCTTGTAAACTTTACAAAGTAAAGTTTAGTTGTAATAATTTTGATTAATTTCCTATAATCCTAGTAACATTTAATATAATATTTTATATTATAAATTATTTACTTATAGATTATATATTACGGTACACCTATTTATATTTAGTTTAAATGACAATACAATATTATAATGATTTTTAAAAAATTAATTTGTATAAAAATAACAAGCAACATTATAATAAATAAATTAAAAAGAATTTAATAAAGTCATCTTTGTCATAAGGAATCGAAATGTGCTTATGTTTTAATATTGATGGCCATATACTGGACCTTTGAACCCATTCCACTACCTGTAACTGCTTTATTACCTGGTACAGTATTTATAAGCTAAGAATTTATTACTTATATCAAATTTATAGTAATAAAAAATTCTTATGAATGAATTTATCTTTAATTCAATAAATTCGTGTTTTTAGTCATTTTGTTCCCTCTGTTGGGTTTGGCGACCACAGAGGAAGCGTGCGGGCCATACCTTCAGGCGACAAATATGCTGTTTATGGCGAGTCTGATGGTCGCCATATCCATGGAGTGCAGTGGTCTTCATAAACGGATTGCATTGAAAGTCCTGATGATTGTCGGCAATGATATCCGCAGACTATTTGCTGGCTTCATGTTTACGACAATGTTTTTGGGCATTTGGATCATCAATACAGCGGCCACTGCTATGATTCTACCCATTGCTGATGTCATCAGTAAAGAGATATTGACTGAAGAAGAATATAAGGATGACTTGCAGTTAAATGAGAGTCAAAGTGATGATAGGAATCATCACGACTTGAGTATTCAACGTATGCATAGTTTTCTGTTTATTTAAATATTAATTTTATGACATTATAATAATGTTAGTCTTCCTATCAGTCGATAAAGAGGTTTATGTTTTGAAACACAACTCAAAACAGTTAAGAAGTGCTAAAAACGACAAATTGAGACGACTTTTATACATAAGTATTGCATATTCGGCGACAATCGGGGGAACGACTACACTAACGAGTAACGGGCCTAACCTCGTCCTACGATTCGTGCTCGACGAGTATGTAATCAATTAATAATTTATGTGAATATCAATTATATTCAAAATAGATAAAATAATTTCTAATCAATAAATGTATTATTAGCATATATCAAGGACTTCCACCCGTTGATTACACAAATTGGTTGCTGTTTTGTGTGACGGCTACTATTGTCACAATTATTATCCTATGGGTTGTATTTCGGTTTATTTACATGAGGTTTAATTGAATTTGAAAAGAATTTTTAAATTGTATTTAAAAACAATATCTCATATGATTTCATATGATTATGATTTTCACAGGGAGAGCGAAGTCTCTCAGATAACAAAAGCTCCCAAACATATCATAAAAGAGAAATACCGAGAATTGGGTTCAATTACTTTCCACGAAAGTGCCGTCTGTTTCCTCTTTGTATTACTTATTGTCTTATGGATGTTAAGAGATCCACAGTTCCTGAAGGGTTGGGCCACAATCATCACCAACAATATGTGATTAAATCATTAAATGAATTATAAAAATCATAATTAACAGAAATATTATGTAAAAAATAACAGAAAGCCAAAGGACGCGACGGCCGCTATTTTTATAGTGGTTTTGATGTTTTGCATTCCCGCCAAACCTATGGACTCATTTCCGGGGCCAACACTACTTGATTGGCAGACAGTGGAGAAAAAGTTGGCCTGGGGGGTTATCATACTTCGTGGCGGGGGGTTCTCAATGGCAGATACGGCTTCTGTGAGACAGTTATTGATTAAAGTTTAATAGTGATATAAACAATGTATTATATTTGACAGAAAAGCGGACTCACCAAACTAATCGGCACCCAATTGACTCACTTGGATGTGCTTTCATTGGTTGGAATCGTTATAATTATGTCACTGTTGGCCACAATATTCACAGAACTGGCGTCCAATTCAGCGATTGCCACAATCTTTCTACCTATCGCTGGACAACTGGTTATTATTACTGAATAAACATTTAAATTTTAAAGTAATTATCATATATTTAATTCAAAGGCCACAAGTCTTGAAATAAATCCGTTGGTATTAATGATCCCGATCACACTTTCGTGTTCGTATGCATTTGTATTACCGGTGGGAACACCCGCTAATGCATTAGTCTTTAATCACGCAAAACTTCGCGCCACTGATATGGTATTTAAATTACACAATAATAGATATATGATATAATATGTGAATATTATACCTTATATCCTGTCTAAAAATTAAAGTTTATATAGACTAAAATAAAATAAATTCTATATTTAGATAATTCCCGGAATAATAGCAAAAATAATTTGTTTGACTGTAATGCTGGTTAATTTATGGGCTATTGATATATCCTGTCTAAAAATTAAAGTTTATATAGACTAAAATAAAATAAATTCTATATTTAGATAATTCCCGGAATAATAGCTTTTTATTAAACAAACTGACATTACGACCAATTAAATACCCGATAACCATAGGGTTACAAACTAAATTTGTTAAAAGGGCTAACCCGAGATTTATTAGTTTGATATTCAATTAATGTTTTTAATATTCGCATAATTGACAAACTATGCATTCAAATGTACATTTGAGACCAAAATTTAAATAATTGTCATTTAATAATTTTGTAATTTTATATTCATTATAGACAGTTAACGTTAATTTTATTTTATCTCAACATTTAAGTTTTATGTTATTTTATGAATTGTATTTTGTATTTGTATGAAAAACAAAGTTATTTTTGTCACAAACTTCTCACTGACAATAGTCAGTAATTGAAATATAAATAAATTTCATTACATATATTATACTTAATCATTATTTGAAGAATCAAATGTCTGGTGTTTTACTTTTTACCAATAATTATAATACCGATGGGTATGCCTTCAGAATCGTCGCCATCGTCTGCATCATCGTCATAGTCGTCATCTCCTGGTGTTGTGCTTCTTCGAGAAGACTCAATGGTATGTTTGTCACAAACAACCCATTCATTTATGGATAATAACATCAAAACAGATAAAATTAATGTTATCTTAAGGACAGAATTCATTTTAAATTATGACAAAATTGTAAACTTCTAAATTCGTGTATGGTATGTTTGTCACAAACAACCCATTCATTTATGGATAATAACATCAAAACAGATAAAATTAATGTTATCAATTCCTGTCTTAAGTAAAATTTAATACTGTTTTAACATTTGAAGATTTAAGCACACCGGAAATTTATAAGCGATAAAATATCTAAGAGGGTCTCTATCTGTGAATTACTTAGTTTTGTTTGACGGGTTTCACAAATAAAGATTATTAATCTATCAAATTGACAATTTGTATGCCATTCTAGACTTATGGAAAATATATTGAAATTTGTAGATTAAATCAATTATCAATCATTAGGCTACTTATGAATAAATAAATTCTGAAAGATTATTTAATAATTTTTAGTAAATGGAAATTGATTTATTATAATAACTTTTTGAAAGTATAATGAAATCATTAATCAAAGTTTTGGAAATCGTGAATTGCATGAATTTTGTTATTTAATTAAGTCTGATCTCTGTAAAGTTTATTTGTACTACTGTAATTAATGTATATGTCTGGATTGATGCTGGTATTGATATAACAACTTGTGATTCACTAGAATTTTATATAATTTGTAATTTACTTCTGTACAAGGTATCCTGATCACATGATCATTTTTATACTTGAATTTCAGTCTTTTACCAATTCTTTGGAATTTAAAAAATTTATAGTAATCCTGGTGCATATTAATTTATATTCTGTATTTTTGAAATACGTATACTGGTGACATAATTCAACAAAATATCCACTTTATTACACAATATTTGTCTATAAGTTAGTTTTGGAAATGATACTGTGTGTAAGAAATGTAAAACATAAAAATTTAAACCCCTGTTCTCACGGAAACTATCAATTTTAAAATATCAAATTATATTAGTGCAAAATAAAACCAATATAATTGTTTTTTATATAAAACAATTGATGGCATTTGAGTTATTCATGGTATTGTATCAAGAATTTAACACTACATTAAGAATGAACCCTTTATTATAATAAAGTAAAAAAAGTTATAAAAAATAAATTAAATAATGAAAAGAAAAGAAAGCTTTTGAATGAGGATTGCCTTCACAAGGGATGAAAGGAATCCAGTTTTCAAAGTTATAAACAGCTCTTGACTTACATCTCAAACACTGAACACAACTGAAGACATGCGGACTAAGAGAGACGAGAACTCAATACATGCATAGCTATAGCAACACAACCCATACATACATCAGCAGTGATGGGATCAACAAAACATATTTATCTCATGTCTCGTCACTAATGTCTCATTTGGTTGACAACTAATCGGACACTCATTTGCAACACTTATTGCTTACAATTGATTGTGAATTGAGCCGAAGATGTCGGACACTTGCAGTGATATCATTATAATAGGCGGTGGTATAAGTGGTTTGAGTGTCGCCTATCACCTGCTGATGAATGACTTCGCCGGTCGTATCATAATATTGGAGTCGCGAGGGCAGTAGCCGCCAGCGTATCGCAGCTGCTGGTGGTTTATGCTCACGGTAGCCTAGCTCAACCCCCGGTTAACCTAGGTACCGTAATACCCTTTGGGGTAGATACTGAACCGGGAGTCTGTGTTTGTCATAGACCAGTTGGCGAGCAGTTCCGGCAAACACCTCGTGGAGGCCAGAAGTCTGAGCGGCACTAAAGTGGACATAGAAGTGCTGGAAGAGGTGTATCGGACGTACTTCTACTTCATCAAGAAGTGCGAGAACTACTTCCAGATCGAGGACACGGACGGAGCCATTCGCTACGACAACTCAATGGGCAAACGTCTCGAGGCGGACATCGACTCCTGGATCAATAGTCTCAAGAATGTGGACAACGAGGGAAAGGAATTGAGGAAATCTATATTCAATACACTCTTGAATCGCGAGACATGTATATCCGGCTGTCATAGTATGGATGAGATGAGTCTCAAAGACTTTGGTTCGTATACAGAGCTGCCCGGAGGCAACACTACGATACCCGTGGGCTTCATCCAAGTCCTCAATTGTCTCTTGGAAGAGATGGACCAGAAGATTGCCTCACAATCCAAATTAGGAGATAAATCCAATCTCATCGATGGAAAGGTGTTAAGTATTCTGAAGTCTCAGAGAGTGACTAAAATCAAGTGGAAGGACATCAGCAGTGATGACAAGAAGGCTAAAGTGGAAGTGGTTTGCGACGACGGGTCCATTTACACCTGCAATCATGTTGTCGTTACCCTACCATTAGGTGTCTTAAAGAGAGATTCAAACATTTTATTTGAGCCAAAACTACCGCAATATAAACTCGAAGCCATTAAGGCATTAGGCTTTGGAACCGTTGATAAGATATTCCTCGAGTACAGTCTACCACTTAATAACTTCATTGATATCAGCGTCGACGAGACTATTGTCTTATGGGATAAACAGAATCCTCCGAAATGTAAATATTTTCAGAAGATTTACTCCATTTCCCAGATAACAAACCACTNTTTGCATTCCCGCCAAACCTATGGACTCATTTCCGGGGCCAACACTACTTGATTGGCAGACAGTGGAGAAAAAGTTGGCCTGGGGGGTTATCATACTTCGTGGCGGGGGGTTCTCAATGGCAGATACGGCTTCTGTGAGACAGTTATTGATTAAAGCTTAATAGTGATATAAACAATGTATTATATTTGACAGAAAAGCGGACTCACCAAGCTAATCGGGACCCAATTGACTCACTTGGATGTGCTTTCATTGGTTGGAATCGTTATAATTATGTCACTGTTGGCCACAATATTCACAGAACTGGCGTCCAATTCAGCGATTGCCACAATCTTTCTGCCTATCGCTGGACAACTGGTTATTATTACTGAATAAACAATTAAATTTTAAAGTAATTATCATATATTTAATGCATTCATAGGCCACAAGTCTTGAAATAAATCCGTTGGTATTAATGATCCCGATCACACTTTCGTGTTCTTATGCATTTGTATTACCGGTGGGAACACCCGCTAATGCATTAGTCTTTAATCACGCAAAACTTCGCGCAACTGATATGGTATTTAAATTACACAATAATAGATATATGATATAATATGTGAATATGTGAATATTATATCATATATCCTGTCTAAAAATTAAAGTTTATATAGACTAAAATAAAATAAATTCTATATTTAGATAATTCCCGGAATAATAGCTTTTTATTAAACAAACTGACATTACGACCAATTAAATACCCGATAACGTATCCCAATGTTTGATTTAAACAATTTTCCCGATTGGGCTCTAAATAATCAAACTATAAGTTAATTACAAAAATTATAAACAAACTATGCATTCAAATGTACATTTGAGACCAAAATTTAAATAATTGTCATTTAATAATTTTGTAATTTTATATTCATTATAGAAAGTGAACGTTAATTTTATTTTATCTCAACATTTAAGTTTTATGTTATTTTATTAATTGTATTTTGTATTTGTATTAAAAACAAAGTTATTTTTGTCACAAACTTCTCACTGACAAAAGTCAGTAATTGAAATATAAATAAATTTCATTACATATATTATACTTAATCATTATTTGAAGAATCAAATGTCGGATGTTTTACTTTTTACCAATAATTATGATACCGATGGGTATGTCTTCAGAATCGTCGCCATCGTCTGCATCATCGGAGTAGTCGTCATCTCCTGGTGTTGTGCTTCTTCGAGAAGACTCAGTGGTATGTTTGTCACAAACAACCCATTCATTTATGGATAATAACATCAAAACAGATAAAATTAATGTTATCAATTCCTGTCTTAAGTAAAATTTAATACTGTTTTAACATTTGAAGATTTAAGCACAGGCCTTTAAATATTCGCTATTTTATAGATTCTCCCAGAGATAGACACTTAATGAATCAAAACAAACTGCCCATTCACAAATAAAGATTATTAATCTATATTAATCTATATAGATTCTATAAAATTGACAATTTGTATGCCATTTTAGACTTATGGAAAATATATTGAAATTTGTAGATTAAATCAATTATCAATCATTAGGCTACTTATGAATAAATAAATTCTAAATGATTATTCAATAATTTTTAGTAAATGGAAATTGATTTATTATAATAACTTTTTGAAAGTATAATCAAATCATTAATCAAAGTTTTGGAAATCGTGAATTGCATGAATTTTGTTATTTAATTAAATCTTATCTCTGTAAAGTTTATTTGTACTACTGTAATTAATGTATATGTCTGGATTGATGCTGGTATTGATATAACAACTTGTGATTCACTAGAATTTTATATAATTTGTCATTTACTTCTGTACAAGGTATCATTTGGCACTCATGTGATCATTTTTATATTTGAAAAATACTTGAATTTCAGTCTTTTACCAATTCTTTGGAATTTAAAAAATCTATAGTAATCCTGGTGCATATTAATTTATATTCTGACATAATTCAACAAAATATCCACTTTATTACACAATATTTGTCTAGCAGTTAGTTTTGGAAATGATACTGTGTGTAAATGTAAAACATAAAAATTTAAACCCCTGTTCTCACGGAAACTATCAATTTTAAAATATCAAATTATATTAGTACTAAATAAAACCAATATAATTGTTTTTTATATAAAACAATTGATGGCATTTGAGTTATTCATGGTATTGTATCAAGAATTATAATAAAGTATAAAAAAAGTTATAAAAAATAAATAAAATAATGAAAAGAAAAGAAAGCTTTTGAATGAGGATTGCCTTCACAAGGGATGAAAGGAATCAAGTTTTCAAAGTTATGAACAGCTCTTGACTTACATCTCAAACACTGAACACAACTGAAGACATGCGGACTAAGAGAGACGAGAACTCAATACATGCGACGCTATAGCAACACAACCCATACATACATCAGCAGTGATGGGATCAACAAAACATATTTATCTCATGTCTCTCGTCACTAATGTCTCATTTGGTTGACAACTAATCCGACACTCATTTGCAACACTTATTGCTTACAATTGATTGTGAATTAAGCCGAAAATGTCGGACACTTGCAGTGATATCATTATAATAGGCGGTGGTATAAGTGGTTTGAGTGTCGCCTATCACCTGCTGATGAATGACTTCGCCGGTCGTATCATAATATTGGAGTCGCGGCCCGTCATCGGCGGTCGCATAGCGTCGACGACCACCAAATACGAGTGCCATCGGATCGAGTTGGGGGCCAATTGGATCCATGGCATTATGGGAAACCCCATCTATGACTTGGCCCTCAGACACAAAC